AGAGAGAGAGAGGAAGGGGGGAGGGAGGGAGAGAGAGAAAGCAAGAAAGAGATGGGATGGAGAGAGAGAGAGAGAACTTGTGCTTAAGTTTGTACAATCAGGCCGATTTCAGCGCTGTGAAAAAATGGTGAGTGAAATGGTCAAGGTTTATTGCCCCTATCAACACTTTTAGGTTATTCAAGAGGCGGGAACTTCAAGTTTAACGTCCGTCTCCGAAAGGACCGAGCCAAATGGGAAATTTGTGTAAAGTGCCTTTCTTTAAGAGGCAGAACCTCAAAATTTGACGTCCATCTCCAATCCAACTCCCCGAACAACTTGAATTCAACAATGCCTCTTCAGGGATTTGAACTAGGGTCATCCGCTCTATAGCCCAGCTTGGTACCTACTGAGAGAATATGTGTGATGACACAGAAAGACCTTTCATAAAGGTTGAAAAATCCTTATTGATAAGATAACTGCTTTTTTGTTTACAGCCAATACCGAGCATTTATATTTTTGTTTGAAGTCATTGTCTTGTTTAGATAAAAACCTATGAAGAGTTTTGATACGCCTTGAGAAACTTCTAGAAATTTGAGAAAATGATCGTCTTTATTCCGGCTTGTTTAGAAAAGTTGTTGGAGTAACATGTTTAAACAGAATGACGATCTGAATGGCTCTGGAAAGATCACGAGTTGCCGCTGTACTTTGACTATTGCTTGTACAATGCAGACTCTGACAATCCCCCAGGGCAGTGCCACTGACTGAAGTGTCTTTAGGCCATTCCCAAAGAGGGGACCTTCATGTTCTTATGCTCAGTAGAATTGTAAATGGGCTGATTCATCAATGTCATGCTCATAACTGTGCCTGAACTGCAACAGGGAACTGCTGCTTTTTCTTTCCTAATCCTTACTATCGTCATTTTACCTCTACTTCTTTTGTATGTTTGTCACACTCTTGTGACCCTCTATTTCCGGGATGCCTTGATTGTCAAAGCAGATTTTGCGCTGTTGAAGCTAGAGAGGTAAGCAGAGTAAGCCTGATTCCCTGTAAAGACTTCTCTGTTGACATCCACCCCTTGGCGCTCATATGACTTTATGCAGTTGCGAGCGCTGTAAAAACTCTACTAAAACTAAAAAAGACTCTGACAACTAGGAAAACTTTTGACATTTTTGAGACTTTAGAATACAAAATGCTTAAAATAGCTCAACTGAGAACTAGAGAATGGAAGGTGTAAGAATGGGCAACCTGTGCTAAGATAGAACGATATGTGCAAAGAGGGGCTTGACCTTCACAGAGATCAAAGTTCCGACCTGGGAACATACGGCAGAAGATTGCAGCTAGTGGAAAGGCGGTATCAAGACCAGTCTCTAAAGGAAAAAGTCTTACCATGGAAGAAGTTTTGCTACACCTGAAGAAACACGAGGCGACACAGCCGACTTTAGAACATCAATCACGTCCTTGCACTCACCTTCACCAGCATTTTTGGGCGCTGATTTATCAAACTAGTTTATCAAACAAATTTATACTCTGTGGCTACTGGACATAAAATGTTGACCTATACAACACAAGTGTTATCATCTTTAATGACAGGACAGTGCTGACTATAATGAGAGTCTTTTATAAAAACTTAAACAATCTTTTTATTTATTAATTTTTTTTTTTTGGCAGAAAAATTCCTACTGCCACTTTCCATAATTTCTAATTAAAATTTTAAAAAATAAAAAATTTCAGGGCATCTCACCCAAACTGGAGTTTATAACCACAACAGTCATCAAGGAGTCCTTTTCTCCGGAGCTGGATGCTCTCGATGACGCTGTGGAATTGGATATGGTAAGTTAGTAGGCTATTGTAACGTACTACTTT